TGTAGGAACTTTTTCTCACCTGGGGAGTTTTCACCTCAAGCCCCTTAGGTGTGGCCAATTTCTATACTATCAGCATCGCCTGTAGAGACAAAACAAACCATTAATCATTGTTTTGTTTGAGGACTGTCTGGAGGATCAGTTGAAGAGTACAACTCTGCCTATTGAGAAGAAAACAGACAGAAGGCGAGGAGATTAAAGACTGCAAGCATCAGTGTTGGAGTTAAATATTAAGCCAGGTTCCCCCTCTCCTATCCAAATTCTAATCACATCAAACAGACCTCAATAAAGCAGCTGATCTTCAGTCCATCGAAGACCTTCAACAGACCTCTGTGAGCTAGTGTGGCACCATGCACAACCTGGACTTAGATTAGGTACAAATACCTGTTCAACACAGGTATTGTGTGGTATGAAGTTCACAGAGCTGATATCAGTGAGTTCAACCTACCTCATAGGGTTGTTGTGTCCATAAAAGAGGTGGAAGGCAGAGTACGAAGCACTTTAAGTCACCTGCCCTGCACTCTTCAGAGAATTAGAAGTTTAATGCATTTGACAGTTCCTAGGACCAGTGCAAGATTGTCTATTTTGAAATAATAGAGGGTGTGACTTAAGGCGTCATCCTTAAGGTTGTTTCTTTTCCTATCAGGGATAAAATATAGGCAACATTCCAAGAAGGAACTGAGGCTGTTCAAGGAATGAGTTGAGGGACTGAACTTGGAGTTAAAACTGGACAGAGTTGGTCCCACAATTTATTCCTTGGTTGTCTCATGGAAAAAAATGTGTGGCATCATGAAAGAATATTAATTTATGATTACTGTACCTTTATTCGTATTTGCTTAGGCAAAGTCCCAGATCCCAATCCAAACTGGAAGGCTTTCTTGTCTAGGGAAGCCCATTAGCCTCATTAGTCAAGGCAAGATAGTTGATTTCTTTCCATCCCTGCCATTAACTCCGAAGAGCAGCTCCCTCAGGACAGATGTAACGTTTTGCAGCTTCATGCACCTTCTAAGAGAAGGCTAAATTATTCTGAAAGTGTAGCTGGAGGGATTTTATACCGCCCCTAAATGTGGATATGATCGGGCTGACAAGCCAGGTGTGGTCCGTTGTTCTGGCCCAGTAAAGCAGTACTTTCCCGTTAAGCCCCGGTTTAGTTCTGCTCCATCAGCCCAGTCCCATCTGCTGGCAGGAGGGCATGTGAAACTATTTAGCATGTGGTGTGGAGTGCTGATTTCTCCCGACAAACTTTGCTTTGTTCCTCCAGTGCTCACCTTTCGCTCCTGTTTGCTTTTCATGGCTTTCCAAAACCACAATTTTTGGTGGCTATTAAAAGCAACTTAAAACATTGGAGGAATTAGAAATCTTTCAAATTTAAAATCTGACACTTTGTTGTCACAGCTGAGCTCAGGAAAAGCCCTGCCAACATATTTGAACTTAGGAAATTGGGTGGCCTTAGCCAGACCGGGTCATGCAAACACGCAAATGGAGCCATGCTCTTTCAGCTGATGCATTAATTGGGCAGAACGTGTTGGGCTTCTGTTGTGCAGAGTTCCTCACTGGAGAGAGAGAGAGAGAGAGAGAGAGAGAGAGAGAGAGAGAGAGAGAGAGAGAGAATGAGAGTATTGGAATAGTCTGTGAGTTCTAAATTAGCTACTACGACTCCAGAAAGACATGTTGGAACCATTGCAAAGACTTCCCAGAAAACAGCTGTGCAAACGTGTCAAAAAGGAAACAGAATATTTAGGGTTATTAGGAGAGAAATAGAAAAGAATACAAAGAGTGTATTTAGGTCCAAAAGTATGATGATAATAACAATCATGATCGTTACTGATACTGAGAAATCAGCCCAGTGCCCACGGGTGGGGAGGGGCTCTGGAACTGGCAAGCATCCATAGGACGGAAGCGCAAGGGGATTTCTGATGGTAAAGGATGGGCCACCCATGATTTTTTTTATTTATTTATTACATTTATATACGACTCCTGTAGCCCTCCAGGGCTCCTGGGGTGGTACAATACAAGAATTAAAATGATCCAACTCTAAAATCCATGCCATAGAATAAAATAGAATAAAGAGATGTGCCTATTGATATTTAAATTATAGGACATACCTATCCATGCTTTACTGTCAGCATCCCTATCAGGCAAGGGGTGTTGGTTTGGCCCACCACAACTTCATCCTCAGTAGCACAACTTTCTGTCCCTTTCTTAGAAACATAGAAACAGAGTGGGTCAGAAGGGGCCTCCCGGGCCATCTAGTCTGACCTCCGGCACCAGCCGGCTCCGCTCATGACATGCCTACCGTGTGCATGTCCAGCCTGTCCTTGAACACCCGCACCGATGGGGCCTCAACAACCTCCCGTGGAAGCCATTCCACACCCTCGGGGTCCCGACTGTCAGGAAGTGCTTCCTGGCATCCAAATGGAGCCTTGGCTGCCTCAGCTTTGCTCTGTTGGAGTGCGTTCTGCCTTCCTCTGCAGGGGAGAACAGGCCTCCACCCACCTCCATGTGACACCCCCTCACATACCTGTATGTCACCAACAGGTCCCCTCGGAGTCTCCTCTTCTCCAGGCTGAAGAGGCCCAGTTCCCTCAGTCTCACTTCGTTCCCCATCCCCTGCAAACCGGCCACCAACCTTATGGCCCTGCGCTGCACTGACTCCAACCTGGCTATATCCTTTCTGTAATGAGGGGCCCAAAACTGAACACAATACTCCAGTTGTGGGCACACCAGAGTCGTATAGAGTGGTAGTAATAAATGACCACCGCATCACACTGCTGCCTCATGTTCAGCCTGCAACCAGCACCCCGAGATCCATTTCACAAGTGCTGCTCTCCAGCCACTTGTCCCCTAGCCTGTACTTATGACAGCTATTCCTATGCCCCAAGTGCAAGACCTGGCACTTATCTGCATTGAATGCCATCCTGTTGCCAAGCATGTCCTCTTCCAGAAGTGCTTCCTGGCATCCAAATGGAACCTTGGCTCCCTGAGCTTTGCTCCCTTGGAGCGCATCCTGCCTTCCTCTGCAGGGGAGAACAGGTCTCTACCCACCTCCGTGTGACACCCCCTCACATGCCTGTATGTTGCCAACAGATCCCCTCGGAGTCTCCTCAGAGACTTTGCCATGAGTAGAAGTCTGGGGGGAGCCAGTGGCTGGGAAACCGGAGCTGTGGGAGTGGAGAAAAAGGTGAAGGGCAAACCAGAAGGCGGACACAAGGCAGAATGGAAGAAGATGAGCAAGGAGGAGAGCTCAGAATTGGTCAAATAAGGTTCAGCCGCTGCAGGAAGTGCTCTTAAATTCCTCCTTGCCCCAGGAGGGTCCAGGGAAGAGTCAGGACAGGGCTAGAAAGCATTTTCTTGAAGAGAACTGGAGCTCAAGCCCCCTTCCCAGCATGGGCGGCATTTTCCTATCAGGAATATTCTTTTTAAAAAGTTGCTCCTGCTGGATGTCAACAGAATAAAGCAAAGCCTCAATTTCTTGGCAGGGAGAAAGTTTGCTTAGAGTGTTGCTACCAGGGTAATTTGTCCCTGTGGGACAGCTAAAGGGGCTTCTATCTACATTGCTCCAGAAGCCAAGTGTATACGCAATTGTGTTGCAGCAGCTAAACAGACTTTGGTCTAATTTCCAAGCCTACCTGGCAGTGCTTGTGATTCACCTTTAAGGCCCATCTGCTCCCAGGTGACCTAAATCTGGGTCCAAACGCAGGTTCTAGCAGTCTCCTCCCATGAGGCAGTTTGCTGTTTAACATCTCCAAGAAGGCTTCCTTTCCTTGTGGTTCCCATTTCCAGAGCAGCAAAAACACCAAAGAGGTTTGTGATGCTGTTAAGACTAACATATTTATTCTGACATCAACTTTCATAAACTGCAGTCCACTCCATTTGATACTGGAGCGGTCTCCTCCATGGCCATGCAGCCGGTGCAGGTCTTTCTGGCAAGGAAGGGGGTGTGTGTGTGGGTCCCCCCCCTTCTCATGGCCTTCTATTCCTTGCTTAAGAAACTTTTGTTCTGGAAGGAGTTCTTTCTGCTGCATTAAGATGCATGTTTGGTGGGTTTGTTACTGAGTGGCTCCCCAGTTTGTTCAAGCCGTTGTGGTCTGTTTATTGTTTTAAAGAATGATATGTTTTGCAATAGTGTTGAACTAATTATAAGATACAGTGATTCCTGCTGTGGCAGTGAGAGAAGAGAGTAGATTTCTTTACATGAGTGTTCCCCTAGCTGCCCTGCAGGAACTGGTCCTTTTTTTTTTTTTCTTTTTAGCATCCTGGTAGAAAGGTATGAGCTTAGTGGGGGCCATTTGAGTGAAACTGGCATGGAGCAAAATGGAAACCAGTGTGTTGTGGTGGTAAGAAGAATGAATTATGGACCTGGGAGACCCAGATTGGAGTCCACAGTTGGGCATGAAGCTCTTGGGGTGATTTTTTTTATTATTATTATTATTTTATTTTTTCAATTTATATCCTGCCTTTTTCCTACAAAGGGCTCAAGGTAGCTTATGTTATCTCTCCTCCTCCATCTTATCCCCACAACAACAACCCTGTGAGGTAGGTTGGGCTGAGAGACTGTGACTGGCCCAAAGTCACCCAGTTGGCTCCATGGCCGAGCGGGGACTCAAACCCAGATCCTCTGAGTCCCAGTCCCTCGCTCTTAGCCACACTGGCTCCAGTCAGCCACTCCCTCTCAGCCTAAGCTATATAACAAGGTTGTTGTTAGGATAAAACAGAGTGATGAAAATTCCCTCATGTTCCTCACAAGAGGAAAAAAGGTGGAATATAAACAATCACAATAACAATAGAAAATAAACTGATATGCCCAACCCTATTGTGGGTGAAGAATGGAACTCCAGTCTAGTCCAGTGTCTGGTTTTGTCATTCTAGTGTTTCCTCTAAGAGCCTTGCATTGCATGTCCAACCCCGAAATCACACTTTTGCCATAGCTGTATCTGAAAACTATTGCCAATGTCTCATTTCCCTGCAGAGCTGCTAATTGGCTTACTCTCTCTCTCTTTCAGCAAATGCTTGCAGATCCCGAAACAGCTTTGCAAGATGGTGGCATTAAAAAGGTAGGACGAAGATGGGCTCTTATCTCAGTTCTATGAATTCTGTGTTTGGCGTTGCTTTTTCCTTTGTCACTGTGAGAAAATGCGAGCGCTGTCCGTCTACCGGAATCTTTATCTGAAGTTGTTGTCCTTCCTAGCTGCATATCTCAATAGTACTGACTTTCCCATTGTACCAGGGTTGTATTTGTGTATGGCGTGTGCTTTGTGGGCTTGGCGTAGAGATGAAAGAAAGGTACAGCTGTAGCTCAAGTTCTCCTTGGCTAAGTTGCACCGATTATTCCCATTAAGAAGTGCAGACATTCTATCCTCAGCCGTTGCACAGCGAAGGGAATGGTCTGGTTTCCCCCTGGTCCTTTGGGGAGGTGCATGAATTCAAACCCAGAACTTTGTGGAGGTTCCCATCCTACCACTGGTCTAAAGAGAGAGACATTCTTTGCAGTGTGTTGAGCAGTGCTGTCGTGAAGTGTGTTGCCTGGGATGTGACTAGCACTCCAGACTGCCCTTTCCTGGCTGGACAATCCCTGTTTCTGCAGCATGAGGCTGCGAGGTTTTACTTCCAAACATAAGAGTGAAGCACCATAAATTCCGAGGTATTTATTTCTGAGTAGACATGTACTGAATGAAATGAACTCACAGATATGAAATGAAGACTCTTTCAGTATCGTCGTTCCCCTGCCTCCAAGCACAGCGAGTGCATTATAAACTCCCAATACTTAACTTTTCTTAATGCCTGTTATATTGTGCATTATGCATGCATAAATATTTTTATTTATTTTATATGTGTGTTTATATGCCACTTATTTATACATGTATTTATAGGCCACTTATAAATGCCAAGGCCTTCCTCTTTGCCATGGCATTCAGTTTCTTGGGTATGTCTGTGTGTCTCCCTCACCCCCTTCTATACCAGCCGGATAAAGCACTGTAGGGTTGGCCAGATGGAGAAGTTTTCCAGAGAATGTGCATTTGGTTGCATCAGTATTCTTTTCTCCCCTTTTTAAATGTTTGTTGCAAATTTAAAACAACACGGAAAGGGAGCAGTATGTGTACCGGAAGGAAATTTTTAAAAAGGGAATGAGAAGCTGGTTGTTACCTACCAAGCCTTGCATGGTTGGGGACCTGGTGAAGCAGAGGTCATTCTGCAACCCCCCTGGACTTGCCCAGGCAGTAAGGTCACCCAGCGCCTCTGCTTATACGCCTGCCATTAAAATGCAGGTTGTAAGAGAAGGGCCTTTTTAGGGGTGGCTCGTCCCTTTGGAGCTCCTCATGAGGCAAGCATCTTGATCCTTCATTGGCTGTTTTCTGGGTGTTCCAGAGCACTTTTTATTGAATACAGCTATTGACCTGTATATTTAGCTGCTGCTTGTTTGTTTGTTTGTTTAAGACAACCATGTCAGTTTTATATTAAGGAAGAATGCTTGCTATATCTTAGGCAGTTCTGTGATTTCATTTGTGAACCATTTTAAGAAGGCCTTTGGACCTGAGCGAAGATATAAATAACTATATGATGTCAGAAACTTTTAGAGAAAATAAAACATACAATTCTTTAAAAACACCAACAGATCCAATGCAGAATGAATGTAAACACTTTTGAGTTAAAATTATTCTGTCTGAGGTTATTATTCCAAGACAGGATTAAGCAATTCCAATCAGGAATGAGAGAGTCAGTGCCACGCACATGCTTAGCTCCGCTAGGAAAGTAGCAGTTAGCTTATTTAGCATGATAACATCCCAGCCAGCCGTTCCAGGGTGGAGTTCTGACAGAGGGGTTTTGTCCAAGCTTGAGAGAACTGAAAGTTGTAACAAACGGACCGTGCCCCAAACCACAATCCAGGATAAAGGCAAAACAAAGCGAGCCCACAGAATAGAGCAAGAACAGAACAGCAGGAAGGTGTTCAACCTTAATATACTGCAGAATGATGGACTTCTGTCCTAGGTGTGCATGCAAAGGGTACGCATCTCCTTTGCTGCAAAGAAGGGTCTAACGTTTTGTCAGAGACCTCAGAAAAAGACTGGAAACTGAGGCTGAGCGTGAAAACCTGGAGCTCTGATCTGTGAGCTTCTAGCTTTCCTCTCTCCAGGGCCTGATGGGCACTTGCCCATGGGCCCCATACTAATCTTTGTATGTTAACCTCCTTGGAAAATTGGAAAACTTCCAACATTAACCATAGTTGTAGTTGTCATAGGGGCCCCAGGACACTGCTTTGCCCGGGGCCCATAATGCTGTTAAGACGGCCCTGCCTATCGCAATGTCTTTTCAGAGTTGGGATCCCATTTCTGTTTGAATTCCATACAGGGCTGCTTTGAGCTTCCATCTAAAACACAAAAACATTTCCAGGGTCCCTTGTTTTTCTCCTGAGCTGATCGCCTGTCAATAGAGTCATTATAAGGATATATTCTGTACCAGCAAAAATAAATACTTCCTAATTTATTTATTTTATTAGTGTCTATACTGCCCAATAGCCAAGGCTTTCTGTTTTTGTACTTCCGTGTGGAATATATCCAAGTTATTCAGACCTTTGGGGGAATCTTTGCTTTCCCCACCACCTCCTGACACACTTCTGAAACCTGAACTGATTCTCCAGGAAAAATGTTTATTTTATTTCAAGTCTTTATATGCCGTCCAATACCAGAGTCTCTACTCTATATGTCTACTTCTGGCTATTGAAGTGTTGCTAGACATACAGGGGAAAGGGATAATGGAGGCCATTCCCTCTCTAGCATCAGACATTCAGGATGCCGTGTGCCTGTAGCCCCTGCAGTGGCCGGGGAGGGTGCAGACCTGCCCATGGAGGCCAGGAATGGAGCAGCGTTTCAGTGAGAATATAGTGGCTATTTTGAAGGACCACTGAGGAGCAGATGACCACAAGGCTGAGCTTACAAGGTGTCAGCTGGGCCTGGAAGATGCTGGTGACTCATGCATGGAGCCTTCTGGACATAAGATGCTGTTGTGTGGAGGCTGGGTGGAAATTTCAGGCTTTGGAGATATATGGGAAGATCCTGATGCGGGAGAGTCCCTTCTCCGGGAACCCTCCATGAAAGAAATTAGGAGAGTAAGTACCCGGAGGAGGGCTTTCTCTGCAGTGGCACCCAACCTATGGAATTCATTCCCCAAAGAGGTCCGCCTGGCACCGTCGTTACTGGTTTTTCGGCGCCAGGTAAAGACCTTTTTATTTAAACATCATTTCAATTGTTAAAACATATGATCTGGCCTGGGCAACTTCTTCTTCCTTCTCTTTCTCCTCCTATATTTTTATTTTATACTGATAATTTTAATTTTGTATTTGTAAATCAATGTATTTTTTGTATTGTTATATTTAATGGTAATTTATTATGTACTATTGTATTTCAATGTATTTTATCATGTTGTAAGCCGCCCCGAGGTTTCGGCAAGGGGCGGCATAGAAATGTAATAATAATAATAATAATAATAATAATAATAATGGATTTGGCTGAACAGCTTCAGCGCTGGTGACCTTGCATAGCAGTACTGTACTGGTCCGACTGGCAAATTCTGCCTTGTTTGGTGATATTAGTCAGTGCGGAGGGTAAGAGTGCAGGGCTGGGACTCAGACAACCCAGGTTCTAGTCCCTGCTCAGCTGTGGATCTTAGACTAGCCACAGACTCTCGGTCCAACCTGTCTCACAGGGTGGTTGTTGTAGGGATAAGACTGAGAGGAGGAGGAGGAGAATGTAAACTGTCTTTAGTTTGTTATAAGGAAAAAGTGGGATATGAATCTAATAAATGTTAGCAAGGTTGGCCAAGTCTCTCAGAACTCTTGCTGTAACCTCATGGTGCCCAAGTGGACTTTTTATAGATTCAGTGCAATGGGTTTCCATGTAATCCATCACAGCAATTCGAAGCATGTTGCCTCTGAGTCAGCATGAAACAGAAGCTACCTGAGCTTAGCAAAACCAGTGTGCTGCTTCACATCGCCTGTCCAGCTGCCCGCAACATCTGTATGCCCTCATCCCATGGAGGGCGTGTGTCCTCTCTGCTCCTATTTTGGTGTTATTAAGATCTGCATTTTTGGGTGTATCCAGCAGTAGGTCTTCATTGCAAAAGATCACAGGCTGCAACAGAAAATTGAAGTCACTGTCTTTCTGCGACCGGCTTGTAACAATGCTTTTCAAGCTCTGAAAGTTAAAAGGAAGCATCCAAATAGCTTCTGCCAATAATTATTAAATTCTAGACTAGGTGGTTCCTAGAGGCAGTTTTGGAAGAGATACCTAGACATATTGATTCCCAGCACAGCCTATTCCAAGTGGCAAATCATCTTTCATTTCGAAGTGAGACTTGGTAGCTGGGATTCCTCTATGAAATGCCCTCGTTAGCCCATCCCGTGACCTCGTGGTCATGGTGAACTTTTAAACCTCTTTCATCTCCCTAGCGCATCAGGCATTTGTCCAGACCTCGGGGGGAACCTATTATCCTGAGCTATGTGGTGACAAAGTGACAGTTCTGATTATCATAACTTTATTCACCACAAAACGGGAAGTGTCAGATCTGTGTCATTCCGCAGTTTCTTTGCACCCTCAGCCAACCTGTTCCAAGCGTTCCCAAAAGCCCTTCAGATGAACCCGATCCATTTCACAGATCTCTTCTCTGTAGCAAAGATGCAGCAGTTTGAAACATTTGCCTCAAAAGGTTCAGAGCTGGGCAGTGTTTGTTTCTCTTAATTTTCCTCCTCTTCTTCCTCTTCTCTCTCTCTCTCTCTCTCTCACACACACACACACACACACACACACTCTCTCTCTCTCTCTCTCTCTCTCTCTCACATTGACAATTAGAATATCTGGCACAGGGTCAGAGCAATGGAGGTCGAAGCTGTAGGGTAAAGAGTTCAAGTCTACGTTTAATGGCATGTGAAGCCACTTGCTGCCAGTCAGAAGGGTTGGGTGCTGATGGAGAAGATTAAACAATGAGAAACCTACACTGTGGTAGGGGGTTTTGGATGGATGCCACAAACCAGTGCTTGGATTATGGGGATGGAATGGCCAAA